TCAATTTATCAGACCTGAAACCGTGTAGAATAAGAGAGGTGGAATCCGATCTTATATCACGTTCCAAAGATCAAAATAAATTTTCAATCCATTATTACTTTTTGATTCAAGAGAAAAATACTTCAAAAGCCATATGGCCTTTTATCATTTATGCATCTATAAGTAAGCAATTCAATAATCAATTCTCATTCACAAGATTTCTCTCTGTCTTTGATCTTCAGCCGCTACGTATCTATGTTCGAGCTCGGTTTACTCTAGATCCTAGCGTTTTTTGTAAGTGACAATGGTGAAAGGGACGTCACACCTTGAGATGGCTAGCATGGCGTCTTGGCTGTTTTCGATAATTGCGTCAAAGATCCGTTATTATTTTTGGTTCTTTGTCTATCTAAGAACATTGACATCTTCTTATTTGTTTTAGAATATTAGTTTAGATATATACCATCTCTTTCATGTTAATTAATTGTTGCAGGTCTCACCATTGTTACTTGAAAAGATTGGGATTCTCAATGGTAAATATATCAACACCTTGGAGGAAGTAAAAGACAAACATAGAAAGAAGAAGAGAAAATTGGATTGTATATCCTAAATCTTATTAGAAATTTGAAATCTATACCAAATTTATTAAACTTTAAAAAGTACCCATCATTTTTGTTGAYATGACATTTTAAACCACCGACTTATTTTTGTTGAAATTACATTTTTGAGAAGAGGATACAAATAATTTATAAGTCTTTGTGGTTGTGGGTTCAATTAGACCATCTCCAATGTATCTCCAATAATTTTTGAGAAGAGAATATAATTTTATTACGTTATCAATTACTAACAATTAAGTTGATTTTTTGTTCAATTCTCTAAACCAGATTAAAGATTGACTTTCCTTTTTTCCAATTAATTGATTCTTGATTTCACTTTAATACTATTTTGGGCTAGTTTTAAATATAAAAGCCCATCACTGAGATTTATTAGAATTCTTGACAGAAACCACCACAAATATTTGATTATTTCTATTTAGCCCAGTTACTTTCTAAAAGATAAGTTTAGGTCAC